GAGCATCAAAGACCTGGTGGGTTGGCTCAAAATCTTGAGATTCCACTTTGGAAGTGGGAGATGATTAATATGGACTTTGTTGTGGGTTTGCCTCACACTCGCTTGAAGCATGACTCTATTTGGGTGATTGTAGACCGACTTACAAAGTCGGCGCATTTCTTACCGGTAAAGATGACATACATGGCACCACAGTATTCTAAGTTGTACTTGAAAGAAATTGTCAGACTTCATGGTATTCTAGTTTCCATTATATCCGATAGAGGGCCTCAGTTTATTGCTCATTTTTGGCAGTCCTTTCAAGAAGGATTGGGTACAAGTGTCAATTTGAGTACCGCTTTTCATCCACAGACTGATGGACAAGCTGAAAGGACTATTCAGATGCTTGAGGATATGTTGCGGGTTTGTGTCCTTGATTTTGGTGGAAGTTGGGATGAACACTTACCTTTGATTGAATTTGCCTACAATAATAGCTATCATGCTAGTATCCAAATGGCTCCCTATGAGGCTTTGTACGGACGACGTTGTAGATCACCTATTGGATGGTTTGAGCCGACTGATGTAGGACTACTTGGTCCCGATCTTGTACATGATGCCTTAGAGAAGGTGACTTCGATTCAACAACGACTTAAGACTTATCAGAGTCGACAAAAATGCTATACAAATGTACATCGACGTAAGTTGGAGTTTAAAGAGGGTGATCAAGTATTCTTGAAGGTATCGCCAATGAATGGAGTTATGAGATTTGGGAAGAAGGGCAAGCTAAGTCCTAGATTCATTGGTCCATATCGAATCTTGAAAAGGATTGGTGAAGTAGCCTACAAGCTGGAGTTACCTGCATCAATGACTTTGGTTCATCCTGTTTTTCATGTATCGATGCTACGGGGGTATGTGCCCGACCCTGCTCACATCATCTCACCGGAGGTAGTAGAAATAAATGACGGTTTAACTTATAACGAAGAACCAGTTGAGATTCTTGATAGGAAAGTCCGTAGGTTGAGGACTAAGGACATAGCTTCAGTTAAAGTGTTATGGCGTAATCATGATGTTGAGGAGGCTACTTGAGAGGACGAGGAAGATATGAAAATCTGATATCCCCACTTATTCACGACTTCAGGTATGGCTATTTTTTTGTTTTTTGAAATTTTAAGTTTAGAGTTTATCATAATTGACTTCCATGAGATAGGTGATTGATTGGTTCATCTATTGTACATGGTTGTTAGACTTGTCTTATGGTAATAAATATTATTGTTGTGATACCGATAGTGGCTATAGTGGTGTTTTGAGGTATATGGGGTTGTGGATATATTTATGGAGGTAGTTGTGATGAGTAGAGGCGTGTGGGGACTTTCATATTGTATTCTCGTGGTTCACTGGCAGGTTGAAAATTTTGGATAAGGCCTATAAACAAAGGAAACTCTGTCAAAATTCTTGAAAATTTAGAGAGTTAGTGAAATTTAGAATCCTTAAAAGTTGAGGAGTTAGGAAAGACATGGAGATTACACTATTGGACTTTAATACGACCAAAAATTTACATTCGAGGACGAATATTTCTAAGTGTGGGAGAGTGTAATGCCCAGTGAATTTTCTTAATTAATTCGAGTTAATTTATTAAATAAGAGATATATGGTTATTCGAGTGGAACAAGGTTATTGGAATACTTAGGGATAATTTCAATAGTTAATCATTGAATTAGTTGAGGTTACAAGGTCAACAAATATATTTGGAGCATATCAAGTTTTTATGTCAGAAGGGCCGAAATTATGGGAACTCAATGGTATGTAGCTAACTTTGAAGAATTGGAATTTAATTAGAAAACAAGGATTTTAAAATCCTAGCCTCTTGCTGGCAACGGAAAAAAAGGATTTAGACAAGTAAGGATTTAGAAAAAAGTAAAAAGGTTGTTGGCTAACAAAGGGACAAAGGGATTAATTATTAAAGACAAAAGCAACATGTAAAGTTGGGGAATGGAATAAACAAAGTTGAAGACCAAAATGTTATTTCAATGATGGATGCTGCACTTGATGCTTCGCATCTCCATCGCGTACGAAATAAGTTGGAACCCAGTGTGAGGCAGTGAACTTGTCCCATAGTGCCAAAGTTGGCGTCCGCTGAGGTTGAAAGAGCTGGTACGCATACGATGAAGCATGCGATGCGTCCCATGCGGCATCCGAATTTTGAAGCCTTTTAAAGGCAATTACGGGAGGAGATTGGTCTTTTATTTTGGGGCTTTGTCTCTGAAGACATAGAGAGAGAAAATATCTCTCTACCATTAATACACCTTTAAGGTACGAATTTAATTCTTTCTCGGTAGATTTAGTTCATTAATTACATCTCTTAACTTTTCAACTACATGGAAATTATAGATTTCTGAAGAAAATCTCAAGAACACTTCAAGAACTCAAATCTTGGAAATTCTAGGGTTTAACAAAGAGGTAATCCCTTCACTCCAAACTTGGGTATTATACTCCATGGACATAATAGAGTATATTTATGAAGTTAAATTTGTATTTAAACATCTATTCATAAAATCCCTAGAAGCTAGTCTTGAAATTGAAGAGTTGATTGGTAGGGATGATGAATAGTGTTGAGTCTTGTTTGAATGATATTATTTTGAGTTTCTAGTGGAACGACTAGATCCCATAACAAGTGTAACGAATAAGTTGGAGTTAGAATTCAAGGATTTATCTTCAAATGATGAAATGAGGATTTTTGCTATACTTATGAAATTTGAGCCGCGTGGATAGGGCAGCTCTACATTTCCCATTGATGTTATTTGGTGAGACTCCACACTAGTATTCGTGGAGAACTTTATTATATTACTATCCTTTTTAACCACTAGGTTATACCTTGGTTGACTATTCCATTTTGTGTCATAGAGATTCCATAGACAATAGTAGTATTCATTTTGGGTTGTAATCCTATGGTTACTTACATGGCGTGCATGAATCAAACTCTCTTTTATCTTTATGAATCTTTGACTTCAAAGGAAAAATATTTACCTAAAGACATTATTCATGTTTTGTCGTATATTTTAAAATGATTGTAATTGGAGAGGCTTTCACATCCTCCTATTAGGCATATGGATGTGTATTAATCTATGAGATGGTTCACTCGAGTATGGTAGAGTACCGGGTACCGGTCACGTAGTTTTAGGGTGTGACAAGTGCTCTATAAGAGCACCACGACATAACACTTTATAAGACCTCATGGGAGAGGCTCAGGTACCTGAAACTATTTAGATCTCGGTAAGTTATGTCTTTAATGAGTGATGATGGAACCGATGCAAAATGATCGTCGACGATAATTTTAATATAATATAGTGCTCAATATTATTAATATTGACGAGGATCTTGAGCTCAAATCTGTCATGAAATTTAGACAGATAAATGATTGGCCAAATGAAAAATACGCAATGAAAATTGACTTCACCTGAAAAATATGAAGTGGGACGAATAGTCTCAACACTTGAAAGTATAAAGCCAGTGGAGGTATATATTGTGTTTTTGTGCGAAAAAAAATCAAGTCGATAGACATAAAGACGACTTTTGTCACAAGAAGATTTGTAAATATCCTGGCATTGGTTATATATAGACATGTTCTCCTGTGGTGGATGTAGTCATTTCAGGTTTTAATCTGGCATATGACAAAATTGATATGCGTATAATGGAAATCATTGAAGGATTTAAATTGTTCTGAAGCATATTAAGTTTTCCAAAAAAATTATTAAATAAAGCTTCAGCAAATTCTTATGTGAATTAGAACGATCATGGCGTGCATGATATTTTTTTGTGTCTAGTGCAATTGGTGCACTAATGTATCTTGCTAGAACTATGAGCACAACAATATGCAAGCAATATATAGTTTTATTCCTATATGAAGATATTGTAATACTATTTGGATTATAGCAAAAGGAATCCTTGATATAGATCTGTTTATTCTAACAAATATTGCCAAAGTTTTGTTGGTTATGCAAATGCAGGCATTTTCTGAAGTTCGTTCTTCAAACAATCTATTTGTATGTGAGGGTACTGCCATATTATTATTTCACAAGGCAATCAATTGTTGATACTTATTTAACAATGTCAATATACTAGCAACTGATATATCAAGTCACTCAACACACAACCGATGTGTGACTTTACTTTGAAGAGAAGACTCCAATAATAGTGAAAACGATGATGTTTGCTTATCTCAATTGAAAGAAGTATATATTGAAGGAGACAAAATAAATCATATATTTCATCAAAGTTCTTTATTAGATATAATCTTCACCGAACGGTGAAATAGATGTTCAATGAATTTGTTCGCTTGATAATTTGGTGATTCTATTCAACGAAGCATGATCAACCTCAACATTTGAGAAGTTGGTATACATGATTGGAACACATCATGTAGGTGAAATAAATTGATGTTTTCATCAGGGGGAGGCAAATACACGTTGTACTCTTTTTCCCTTAGTTACGGTTTTATCCCACTGGGTTTTCCTGGCAAGGTTTTTAATGAGGCAACAAGCCATGCGTATTATATGATATGTGTACTCTTTATCCTTCACTACGATTTTTTTTCTATGGGGTTTTTTCTTAGCAAGGTTTTAACGATGCACAATAACTATGGACATCGAAGGGGGAGTGTTATAAAATCTTGAATTATGGTGGATGTCCATAACCACCAAAGGAGTAACGCTCACTACTATTCTCCATTATCTCCATAACTTTCACTACTATAATACTTATAGAGTTATGATTGTAACTCCATGATCTTCCTTAATGATTTCAAATGCTTAATGACATATTCAATGACATATTTCTTTATTTTTCATGCTTATATAAAGGTCTTGTAATAGATGGAAAGATCACACAATTGAAGAAAAAATAAGAATCTCTCCTCTCTTTCTCTCTATATCTCTTAGCTTGTTCTATATTGTTACTTTGAGCTATATTTCATCACAAAATATTATTTTTTCCTGATTAAAAGAAATTTCGTAACAAATAAAAGGTTTGGGGATAATCCTAGCAGCCAAACAGATTATAAGGCCACTTGTCTCGTCCCGCCAGTTCATATACATTTAGAACTTCAAAATTAAATTAAGAAAAACTAAAAAGTGATGAAACTAGCGGAAAACAAAATTTAAATTGCATAATCGTTCCTTATTATTCTTCAAATGAATCATCAAACCTCACAATCCTTTGGTTCTCAGTCACATTTCTACGTATCACTTCTCCAAGACAGCCTGAAAACAAAAAAACCATTTGCCATAAAGTTAATCCATGGCAGTATAATCAAATCCGGCCTCCATTTAGGCGTTTTCCTTATGAATAATCTCATCAATGGTTATGCAAAAACTGGGTTTTTATCATATGCTCGTAAAGTGTTTGATGAAATGCCTGTGAGAGATACTTCTTCTTGGAATACACTTTTATCTGGGTATTCGAAACAAGGTTCGGTTAACGAAGCATATTCGATATTTAAGGAAATGCCATATCGCGATTCTGTTTCGTGGACCACTATGATTGTTGGGTACAATTTGGTTGGTCGTTTTCAGGTTGCAATTCAGATGTTTCTTGAGATGGTTTCTTCTGATGTTTTGCCGTCCCAGTACACGTTTACAAGTGTTCTTGCTTCTTGTTCTGCAATTAGAGCATTATACGAGGGCCAAAAAGTTCACTCCTTTGTTGTTAAATTTGGGTTGAGTAGTCATGTTTCCGTGGCAAATTCTCTGTTGAATATGTATGCCAAGTCAGGTGATGCAAATGCAGCTCGAAATGTTTTTGACAGGATAGTTGTGAAGAACACCTCAAGCTGGAACGCGTTGATCTCGTTGCATATGCAGGCTGGTCGGGTGGATTTAGCACTGGCACAATTTGAGCAAATGGATGAGCATGACATAGTTTCGTGGAATTCAATGGTTACAGGCTATAATCAGCACGGCTTTGACGTTCTAGCTCTTAATATGTTTTCTAGAATGCTTAAAGAATCTTCACTGGGACCTGATAGATATACTTTAGCTAGTGCTTTATCAGCTTGTGCTAATCTTGGGGAGTTAAATCTAGGAAAACAAATCCATGCTCATCTTATCAGAACTGAATTTGACACGTCAGGAGCTGTTGGGAATTCTTTGATTTGTATGTATTCCCGATGCGGTGGGGTAGACATTGCTCGAAAAATTTTGGAGAAAAATAGAGAGTCTAGTCTAAACGTCATTGCATTTACTGCACTACTAGATGGGTACATAAAGCTTGGTAATATAAGTCCAGCAAGGAAGATCTTTGACTCATTGAAGGACCGTGATGTGGTTGTCTGGACAGCCATGATTGTTGGTTACGTTCAAAATGGCCTCTATGATGATGCAATGGAACTCTTCAGGTCAATGGTTAAAGACGGGCCAGACCCCAATAATTATACTCTAGCAGCAATGTTGAGTGTCTGTTCAAGCGTGGCATCCTTAAATCATGGTAAGCAAATCCATTCAGCAGCCATTAAGTCAGGGGAAGCATTATCAGTTTCTGTTAGCAATGCCCTGATAACTATGTATGCCAAGGCTGGAAATATCAGCTGTGCAAGGAAAGTATTTGATTTGATACGCCTGAACAGAGACACGGTCTCTTGGACTTCCATGATCTTGGCTTTAGCTCAGCATGGACTTGGAGCTGAAGCCATACAATTGTTTGAGGATATGCTTGCACTTGAAATGAAGCCTGATCATATCACGTATGTTGGTGTTCTTACTGCTTGTACACACGTAGGATTGGTCGCTCAAGGTCGTAATTATTACAAGATGATGAAACAGATGCACAGTATTGAACCCACCTCCAGCCACTGTGCTTGCATGATTGATCTCTTTGGTCGTGCTGGGTTGCTAGAAGAAGCACAAGACTTCATAGAGAAGATGCCAATTGAACCAGATGTGATTGCATGGGGTTCACTTTTAGCATCTTGTAGGGTTCACAAAAAAGTGGAGCTAGCAAAAGTTGCAGCCGACAGATTGCTTTCAATTGATCCTGAAAATAGTGGGGCCTACTCAGCACTTGCTAATGTGTATTCTGCTTGTGGAATATGGGAGGAAGCTGCCAAGATCAGAAAATCAATGAAGGATAGACAGGTCAAGAAAGAACAAGGATTTAGCTGGATTCAATTAAAAAACATAGTCCATGTCTTTGGGGTAGATGATGGGCTTCATCCGCAGCGAGATGCTATTTACAAGACAATGGAAAAAATCTGGGAAGATATAAAAAAGATGGGATTCATTCCAGACACCAAGTCAGTGCTGCATGATCTTGATTATGAGGCGAAAGAGCAGATTCTTAGACATCACAGTGAGAAGCTTGCAATTGCATTTGGGTTAATAAATACCCCGGAGAACACTACTTTAAGGATCATGAAGAACCTTCGAGTTTGTAATGACTGTCACTCAGCAATCAAATTTATCTCCAAGCTTGTAGGGCGAGAAATTATTGTTAGGGATGCCACTCGTTTTCACCACTTTAAAGGAGGTTTCTGCTCTTGTCGTGACTACTGGTAGGGCTCAAACCAAATTTTATCTAGAATTCCACATCAGAGCTGCTGAAGAAAAGTAAAAGAAAAAATCTACAATGCTGGATGCTACAAAAATAAATAAGGAATCTGAGTTTGAGCAACTCATACATAAAGGTAAACATTACTCTGAAGTATGCCTTCACTGATGGTATTCTTGTACAGCTTTGCCATCTTGTAAGTTGCTCCATAGAATGGGCTTTTAGCTATACTGTTCAATGATTCATGAGGTCTGACCTCTAATGGTCAAAAGACCTTCTCATGGTCAAAGTAATGTATCGAAGATAGACCCTGATGGCTTGATGGTTTTTACTAAAACACACTGGTCAGGTAAAGTGGCTATCCAGTTATAGCATTTGAACAAAAGACTGTATTTTGAGCAGTATTTTGTTAATTTTCTGAAACTGTAACAGACATGTATGTCGTCCGCGCTACATATATAAAGTATTTGATAAATTCTAAAATAAATTAAAAAAACAGATATTTTTGTTTGTTCATCATTGACAGACTCAAATGGTATTGATGGAGCATTGGTTCTGTAGGATTCTACAAAGCTAATCTATTGGATGAACTTCTCTCCCTCTCCCTCATCTCTCAGTACACCGAGTCAGGAACGTATGCAAACTGAATGCATCTACAGTTTATGCTGTTTCATAATTTATATCATTTTATATAAATCACCTCATTTGGAGCCAAACCTGCAACTTTGCCTCATTTAGGAAACATTCTTTTGGCTTCCTCACAGATTTTGAAATGCTTTTAGTTGGTTATTTTTCCTTTCTCTTTTGCTATTAATAACACCAGATATGTCTGCACTATTATCACTTGTAGTGGCATCTTCTCCCTTGCAAAGCTTATAATTGGTTCTTTACTAACAAGTCTCAAGCTGGATTAGCAAGGCCCTCAAAAGATGAAATAAGACGGAAGCTATTTTCCATGAGAAGTCTATATTTACTGACTTTTTAAATACGACCAAAGTCCCATTTCTTCTAGTAAACAATTTAAACAACCATGTCAAAGTGTTGCATACAATCAAGATCATTAGCTTATGTTGTCATTGCAGATGCAGAATACATGATTCCACTTTGCTGTTGCTCTAGTTTGTGGCTACATGCAGTGGTGGAGCAGGTCACATTTCTAGATGGATTTTCCGACATTTGTCTCATAGTGAGGTAAATTCATCTCTAAATAATGTAGCATTTAATAGCTGATGGATTTTCTCATGCATCGACCGAAGTGATTCAAATTATGGAAAGTGATGTAAGAAACATTTTGTATATATTAGTCTTTGCAATCATAGTGAAATAGATGGTGAATCAATAGTGTCGACCAGGTTTGAAGAAACTCGATTCACACTTATAAGTACTTTGCCTATAGGATTATGGCGCGGTTGCATGCCTTGCCTGTTAGCAAAAGGTCAAGATATCAACATTTGTACTTTTGCTTGTTTCAATACTAGCGTTCGATCCTGATTCTCACAGAAGCCTTGAGATGTTCAAAGACCATATTGTAATATATCTTTTTCCACATTCATTGAACCATGTCAACTGTCTACATATGCTCAGTCTATGTTTATGTTTGTTTCTCTATATGATGCTCTCCTATTCTTCCCTTGTGAATATGTGTGTGCTTTCTGTCCTTGCTCCATCCTTGTCTTTTGTATCTTTCCATTGTAAATGTTACAATTTATATACTGTTGTGTTCCTTCTCTCGATGTTGCTCTTGCTTATCTAGATGGACTTTTCATAGGTTCTTGGTATGTTGGTGGTGGTGGAGGATCTCAAAAGTTGACTTTTTTCTAGTTGTTGTCTCATTGAAAATGTCATTTTCGCCTAAGTTGCTCCGACATGGCAGTTTAGGTGCCGCACCCGTGTCGACACGACACTAGTATGGGTGTGGGTATGGGATCCGTACCGGATCTAGGGAAACAATTTTGGGTACTTTGACCACGACGGACAGAAAAATTCGAGACGAGATACAATTTGATTACCGAAATCAAAACTAAAACTAGGGTAAATTTGAAGAAAATAGCATAGCTTATCTAGGAAATCAATCTTTTACTATCTACAACTTGAGAATAAAAAGGAAATCCACACTTTACAAGCTATACGTAAGTATTCCACAAAATTTCTCATAAATTAGAGAGATTTATATTATTTAAAAATATTTTTAGCCGGATCCCCGCACCCGTATCCGTACTAGGATCCGTATCCCCGAATCTTAAAATTTACATCTTGAAAGATCCGACCTCTAGATCCGCACCCGTGTCGGACACCCGCACCCGTGTCCGAGCAACTTAGATTTTCGCTATACTGCATCCAAAACTGCTGTCTTCTTCACCTTACTAGCTGATCATTGTTGGTCTTGAAACTCTCCGAAGCAAACAGTGTGGTCCCAGCAAAACTTTCAACAAGTTTAACGGACTTCTGTCAGATAAGACTGACATGGTAGATCTGCTCATTTTGGAGGGATACAAAGTGGTGCTCTTGCACCAAAAAGATTCTTGTTTTTTCTTTCTTAAAGGTTCAGATTTCTTGTAGTTTAGAGGAAAATTGTAGACAATAACCGTGATGTAAATAGGCTATTGGAAACATGGCATGAAACTGGGTGAGGAATGACTCCTTTATTGGTAAGAAATTGAGATGTTTCCTTATTCGTTCCATTTATCAAGCAAAACCCCTTTTTGTTATCTCGTTGTCGGTCTTCGCATTCATTTATCGTGCTATATTGCTCTTTAGTTTTTGTGTTCAGTTACTCTATTGTTTTTGACATATATAATGGTCTTTGTGGTTCAGATCTTTGACTGAGACAGAGTTTGACTATTTCACCGTTAAAGTGTACCATTGTGGGGCCTTAGTTCAAAGACCCTAGAGGAATTATATTCTCTGACTTTGTAGATGGTGAAGGTCTTAAATGCTGCAGTTTGGAAAAAAAAATGGTCAGAACAACTTGGCCGAGAAATGGGAGTTGATTATTCTTTGGCAAAATCATATTGAAGACTTGTACATTTCCAATCTTATTAAAGACTTGTTTGAGGCAATAGGCTAATACTTTGCAACATTGAGGCTGGGTTGCGGAGATGCAGAATTACAGATTGTTTTTGAGCCCTCGAACATTTTCAATGGTGTTGGCAGTTTAATCTCTTTGGATTTTCAACATGACAAATCTCAATCTGAGAATTTGATCGGGAATGAGGAAATGATATTTGATTGTAAAGAGATCCAGGGATTCACACTATGGCGGGTCAGAAGATCAAGTATAGGCAACAAAGATATCAATCCTGAAGGCAGACTTCAAACATCATGGTGGGTGATTGATGGTTGGAGGTCCGACTGAAG